GCTTTTTGGCATATTTTTGCACCTGCAGTAATGACAAAATGGGAGTGTACAGAAACCTGGATGAAATTGTTCTTATCTTTTGCTACCATGGTTTATGTTTAGAAACAAAAAAAATCATGATGAAGGCTATTGTCATAACTCTGAACTGTGCTCTGAATGTTTGAGCACATGTACAAAGCCCAAGTTTATCTAAAGGAAGCAGTCAAACAAAGATCAAATATTCCCTTACAGGGAATGGGAAGCAGCAAGAACTTTGGACTTCGTGAGTTTGAGTTTCTGCTGTGTTGCTTGGTGTGCCTCCTTCATAACGTGAGAGAAGAAGGGTGGCAAAAGGGCTTCTCAGGACACTCCTGATAGTCTGAGCAAGTGGAAAGGGCAGGAGAGAAGCAAGGAAGTGAGTCTAGATGTTTCTTTTTCCTGAGTTCTGCTCCAAGGTTTCTGAGCGAGAAGGGAGGATGAATAGGGACAAGAATTGCCTGCTGGTAGTCACAGTCACTCCTAAGTCATAAGTCCCTGCAGCCTTGAGCATCCTCTTAACTTGTCCTGCCTCTGACCCACACAACAGGTTACCAGTCCACTCCCTCTTCTGTCCCAGTCATATTTCTCACCTACCTACATGCAGTGAGCCACTGTGAACTAGAAAGCCCTAATTACTTCCACTCTACAACTTCTACCTTTGTCCTAATCACTCCCTTTCCTTCCAGCTTTCCTCCTATCCCAAATTCCTTCTCAGCACTCCTTTTCAAGACTCCATGTCCCCTCCTCTCACCTTACCATAAGTTAGTCACAGAATGCACAGACTCTCCCATTCAAGAGCCTCTCCCCATAAGATCCTCTTATTTCAAATCTTCATTCTGATCCTACAATCCACTGTGGAAACTCGCACCACTCTGTTCTCACTCTTCCCTACACCCTCGATTTTGTATCCTGCTCCCAAATTCTTTTCCAGCTCATCCCACCCCATACATGTGCTCACCCTTATCTGCAACTCCTCTCCCTCCTGTGTCCCTGCCTCAGGCCACGAACCCACTGCAGATTCTTAGATCTTCTTGCTCAGCTTTGGTGATATGTGCATCTCTATCATGTTCTTCCTCAGTAGCTGGGTGGTCAGCTAAAGCCTTTCTTGACTGACTTTTCAGGACAAAAGGAAGGGCTAAGCCCTCCTCATTTAACCATGATTTCAAAAGCTCAGCCTGCACTTACCAGACCCCAACAAGAACAAAATGGTATCCAAAAGAAAATAGTGAAGTGAGGAAGAGGATAGTCATACTTACCAAGAAAATACTTTGCAGGTGTCTGCCCTAATTCATCATAAAAGTAGACAGTGGAGAAGAGAATTCATCTAGAGGTAGAAGAGTGACAGAAAACTTTGGAGATCAGCATTTCCCTTAACCAATCCCTGGAAGGGTGGAAAGACATCAGAGCAGAACTTACGTTACAGGTCTGCATTACACTTGCATTCTCCTAAACATCTGGAGAAGCACACATGCCACATTTGTGCTCCATCTCTAGACAGTAAGAAATGGTGCCCTGGAACCTCAGGTTCTTGGCAACAGCATGAGGCAAGCCATCAGAGACCTAGCAGAACCAACAGGGGAAATTCCTGGTTTGGATTTTGAGAAGATTGCAAAACTGGCAATAAAATTTTCCCCAGAGCTGTGTATGAACAACTGCACTGCAGCAGGCTGGTGTTATTTGCAAGACATGATCATAGTAACAGGAAAATTCTTTCACATATATTGTTGCAAAATGGCACTGAGCAATATTTATGAATATATCCTTGAACATTTTTCCATCACTGGCAGTGACTAATCCTGTGCAGTTCTAGCCAAATCTTCTCAGTTAGTGTGGAGGAACCATTGCATAAACTGCCATGTGGCAGTTAGTAAGGACAGCATGAGAGGCCAATACCCAGTTTCTTTCCAGTTTGAATAAGATTTCTTGATAATGTAAAATTCTTTTGCCGGTGAAAACAGGAACTAGTCAGGATGGCTGAAGAAGTGTGATTTTTATTAGCAACCATCCAAATCCAAAGCAACTTGTTTGTCAACATACTGACAAGAGCACTACTTTACAACTTTAACAAGCAAGTCAGTGTAGATGTTGCAAACGATTATTTGGATACTGGAGCACTGCTCAGGTTTTGTTGCTTGTGTAGACTTATATTGCCGTGCAATGCTTTAAGCATAGCTTTCAAGTGTAGGTGTAATGTGTGGTAGTAAGGCATGCTGGAGTATATTATCAATATATGATGGAGTTATTTGTAGCAGGGACAAGCCTGTTTCATTGGAAGAACTATTTTAAAAGATCTTATCCTGCTGCATTCTTCTTAAAAAATAAATTTCCCTTTTCTGATATTCCTCAACCTCTGAACATTCCACGTGATTCCTTGCTTGTCTCTTCAGCTACAGAAGGCAAAAGCAGGAAGCCAGGCAAAATTTCAATATGTGAATACTATAACCCTTTGGAAAATTTCAAGCTCGTGTTCAAATCCAGGCATTGCTAACCCGTTACAGAAAGCTCAGAGTTTGCAATGAAAACAGTAATTAAGAACCATTATCTGCACTGTAACTCATCTTTCTTTAAATATCCTGTTCCCAGTGCACATAGAAACAACCTTGTATGTAACATGTACCATACATGCTACCATTTTTGAAGGTATCAGGGAGTTGGGGTTGGCTAGTTTGTGCATTTATGTAGCTGCTCTAGATAGAGAGCTGTTTAATGGGAGTCTTCGTGAACACCTTTTGGTGACATGATACCTTTATGATACCTTTCAGCTTGCAGAACTGCTGCACATCAAGCACACAGGGAACTGCAAACTGGATACAGTTATTTGATCAAAAATATCAAAAATCAAAATCTCTCAAAAACATATGAATTTACAACATATACAGCAAATAGCTAGGACGCACTCAACTACTTCAGATTCTCTCATAGATGTCACATGCATAGACTACTTTCCTCATCAATATACACAGTTTACAATTTCTTCTATTGGCATTACTGAAATATCAATTTTAAGACAACAAACATATTTCCTTTACACACCAAAGAAAACAGGAATATTAACATCTTAAGACTTCCCTAGAGATGGCAAGATTCCCTTAGTTTGTGCGTCCCTCAACAATGCACATTATGCCCATGTGAAGAAGGGACAATTCCTCCCACAGCTTTATTCCTTCTTCAAGAGTATCTTTTCTTTCTACCAGACAAATCTTACTCCTCATCTCCTCACCTATCCATGTTATCTTTGGTTTCCTTCTGCCACCAGAATCTGTGTGTGGGCTGCTTTTCGTGGAGGCCTAACTCTGACTCAGAGAATGCTGGGGGGCCCTTCTACTCTTGGAGCTTGGCTCCTCTTGCCCCAGGTTTGTCTCCCAACACACGATGCCGAGCTCAGCTGCCAAGTATTCCACTTAGGTAACGCTTGGCATTTCCAGCCCCAGGGCCTCAGCACTGATGCAATTTCCAAAATTATTTTTTTAAAGCCACAAATATTTTGAATTCCTAGCAACTGAGAAACCCCAAAAGCAAGAAAGCAGCATTCTTCTGCCAGGAAGCAGAGAAGAAAGGCAACAATGGGGAGAAGAATGGTCAACTGAGAACAGCTTCTACTCCCTCCTTCTCTTTTATCTTAAGCTGGTAATGTAAGGTCACGAGAGGGGAGAAAGACAAAAACTGTGATGGAAAGAGACTTGTTCTGAATTCCTCTGTTTGGGACTAGAGGTGGAAAAGATCACAGAAAGCAATAGTATATCTTTCTCTCCTCTGTCCTCCTGCCTCCATAAAAGCTATGTATCAGTACAGGTGAGAAAAATATGTTAGTCATTTTCCACCTTCCTTCTTACCTAAAAATAACCACTCGCATAGTTAATGGTTAGTGCTGCTGAGATCATGGAACAGTTTTCTTTCTATATTTTACCTAAGGCTTAATCATGAGGTTACGCTGCCTTTAGGCTACAAAAGGCGAGAATGCAAAGAGTACATCTTATCCACAAATGCAATCAGTATTTGATGTCTCTGAGCTAAAAATAAAAACTAAAAAATAAAGAGAAGTGAATAATGAAAGCAATATGCAAATCATGAAGCTTAGAGTCTAGAAGCAAAAAACAAGTCTGAAGAGGGGTAAGAAACAAGCAACGTAGAGGATTTCCAAATTCAGCACTAATTCTAGAAAGATGTTTCTATGAAGGTTGCTTGTGTACGATCTTCAAAACTGTCACATATGAATGTATAAATAAGTAAACAAGCTATGGTTACAGGGTTTACAGATTTAGAGCTTTACTGCAAAACAAAACTAGCCCCCCAAGTATTTTCTTTAGGCTTGATCCACATTTTTCTATGGCAAGGAGAATTTGAGCTTCTAACCTCAGCATCACGGCTAAATGCAGGAGATCACAGAGCTGATCCAAAGTTCATTAAGCAACAGAGAAATAAACTGGGCTAGCCTTTGGATGCAATAAAATACAGATGACTGTGCTGTATTTGCCAGGAATAAGAGGCATAGGCAAATTAGCTGACTTCACAGAACATATGAGGTCACTATTATTTGCAGAAGCCATAAAACATGATGAATAATATAGATACGCTCAAAATTGTTAGGAACACAAAATTAATAATTATAAACACTGATAAGACATGGAGAGCTTGCTTTTCAAATGTTAGGCAGGCAGGTAGTCAAGCCAGTTGCTCAGAAAAATACAGGAATATTTCTCATAGCTTAGCACCAAATAATAAAGTACCCCAACATCAGGGTGCTGATAGAAACAGAGTGCATCAAGAAAGCAGTAGGTTTGGAAGAGAGAGTACTTATAGACAGCCACCCCTGAAAATGCCCATCTGACACAAAGTGAAAATTGTTATCCTACTTCTCACCAGTTTGTAGCAGTGTTTGAAAGGTGCCTTCCTAATCTGGGACATTTTGTTTATAACCTAATGACATTGAGTTGTTAATTGGCATGTGAGTTTTCTGAACTAAATGAATATTTGAAACTTACTGTCTGAAAGAAACTTGTGGCATGACATCTTATGAACTCCAGTAGGGGACACACACCTGAAATGAAGACTGAGTGTGAGGGAGGAGAAAAAAAGCTTTCTGTTCTCTTTCAGAAGAATATTCCTCGTTGTTACAGAATAAGCCTTCACTTTTAAACAGGAGCCAGAGCGAGTTGTTCAAGCCTCACTGCAAATGCATGGTTTTAGGAAAGAAATCCCAAAATATTACTGCGAAAATAAGATAGGTATAACATGTATTCTTTTCTCCCAGTTTGAAACCACTAGCACAAATGGTAAGACTATGGGCGAGATTAATTAATTTGTAAAAAAGAAAAAGCCTAATAGGATCTAGTGCACGGTCAAAGATCACCCTGTCATTAATCTAATGATACACTTTTTGTTCCACCAATTGAAATGCCTTATTTCACAAACACAATCTTTTCCCTGTCTGAAAACATACTAGTGAGACTGTTGTAACAGCTGTTATGATTTACATGTATTTTTCTTAAATTGTTTTTTTTTTTTTTTTTGGTCCGGATACCTTCTCATCCCTGAGAGGAATCATTCCACTAGTTGGCAGTGTTACCTCACTCAAGCAAATAGCCTTAAAACAACATGTTCACCTACAAAATCGGGCTCTGCATTTTTGAGCTGCAGATTTCATTCAGCAACATCTGAGAAAGTTGCTGAGCGATACAGCAAGGAAAAGTATTGGACTGGAAGGATTGGAAAATCAGATCCCCATCCATACCATATTTCTCTTCTAACAAATTTTTAGTTTTGTGTAATGTTCTGAAGCAGAGACCAAAGCAAACCCAAGTGAACTTGTCAAAGCAAACAAAAAGATCATCGCAGTCATAAAGACATGCACCTAAGCATAGGTCCAGGCTGTGAATGCAGAGCCAGTGGGTATTCCCAAGTCCGCAACCTTTAAAAGCAGAAAAACAGCTGATGAATGCAAATATAAAGCAGAAGTACCTTATATCCCAGTGAGCTGCTACTTCTATCACATTTCAATGCAGTGCCTTATATTCTGTTCTGACTACTGGCTATGAACTACTGATGACAAGGCAAGTGACAATTTCTTGAGTTGGAATTCCTGTTTAAGTCATTTTTAGAATTAAAGGAAGGATTTGTTCCTCATCTTCCAAGAAGGAGTAGGGCACTGCATTTGGGAGCTAGAGTGCCAGCAGGCCTCTTGGGTAGAATCTGCCTGTGCTGGCTCCAAGAGGATCATTAGAAACTCATTAAAGTAATGAACCTGTTAGTTCTGAAGCTGCATTCACACACACCCACCAAGATGTTAGTTGCCTCCTTGGCTCTGACTTATAGCATCTGCTAATCATCCCCAGGATTTAGCAGAACAAACTGCTTCTGGGATTCTCAGCAGGCAAGCAAGTGGAAATGAAAACAGGTCATGTCTTTCCACCTGGTCTGTGGGAGAAGACTTTCATCTCTTGAAATCTTAACTTGTATGACTGCTACTGGAATAGTTAATGCTTTGTTCTAGCTGTAAATCAGGATTCCTTTCAAGCAAAAGTACCATATCAGTTATCTAGAAAGCAACCTTTTAAAAATATCCACTTCTCAAAGGAAAATGAACACAGCCTGAAAGAGTTGTTTTAGAACAATAAAAGAAAAAAGATGTAATCTCTACAGCATTGCAAATTCTGGCTCATGTGCAAAGCCCCGCAGACTGACACAAGCACATTAACTGCAGTGAGTCAAAGAAGGCTCTCAAATTAAATCCTCATCTACACTGCTGACACACTTTACGGCCTTAGGTATGTCTCATCAACACCTCTGGGCTCTAAGATACGCATAACACTCCCAAGCATCAGGAAAATTAATTCACTGGTAACTGCAAAGCCCTGAGTAAAAGTTTACAACAATTAACAACCAAGTTTGGGTGATAATGTTTTCATATCCAGAACAAAAGGAAGTTTAAAATGCAAGCAGAACCAGCACAAATGGTGGAAAATAAAATTAAAGCAAAACCCCCTTCACTTTTAAATCTCTAAAGACTTATTTGAAATCCAGAATAATAACAAAACAGCCAGTCTGCAGTTTTGAACAACTTGACATCAACTCTTTAAGAAAGAACTTTAGAATGATATACAAGAGATTATGCATCTAAACTTCACAACTGCTTTGCATATACAGTTTTATAAAATCTCACAAGAGAAAGCAGCTGATCCCACAACTGCAAAGATATTTCCTGTTGCTTTGCATTTAAATTAAACCATTCAATAAGTTACACTGTGCCACAAGACAACACACAGATGATCACAGAAAATACATTAAACAATCACCAAATCTCCCACTATCAAGTATCATAGCAATTGCTTCCTTTGAAGATGGAAACACTCAGTGGGTTGGAGTTAGCAGATGCAATGCTGCTTAAAACACCCGTGTACATTCTCTAACCTTACTCACCTCAGTATGTAGCAACTGAACTCTATGCGCGGTATCTCCCAGTTCATAACACAAGTTGAAGACTGACATCCATTTGTACTCATTATCCAAATCTATATAAATTCTGCCCAAGTTATTTAGCGTTAAAAGCTTCCATCCTTTGAAGATAAACAGGTTAACAAGCTTTAAAATCATTAATGAAGTAAGGCTAGAGGGATATCCTTCTGCAGAACATAAACATTGGCTCAGCTGATATCTCATGCCATCAACAATGAAAGATCATTAGCAGACCCAGGCCAAGATGCTGTGGGAAATAAGTTGAAGGCAACAGCTGGAAATATTTGGCTTGTACAATAAAGTTTTGAAACACTTCAGATACTTCACCAAGCCTTTTTTTTTTTTCTTCTTTTTTTCTTTTTAAAAAACAAAAATCAGAAATATTTCATCAGCACTTGCCTGAGAAACAAGGTCAACAGCACCCATTTGTACTATGACACTGTTACCTGACTTGTGGTGACACAGACATCCCTCCCCTTCCCTCCTTCTTCCCTCTAAGCATCTGTTTGCAGAACGCAAGTAGCAGTTCATCCTCAGAGGAAAGATATAGGAAGACATAGGTCTCTGTATTACATGTGGAAATACAGTCTTCTTCAGGTGCTTTGATGATGAAACAGTGTTGTATATATACACCCAGCTTTGCATTTCCTAATGGCTTCCAACCACAGCAGCAGTTTTAGCCATGTTTAGATTGAGACAGTCCCAGATTCCTACAGTGGTGCAGGAGATCTACATAAAGATAAAAGATCTCAGCAAACACCTTCTTCCTTTGAGCCAAAGGCTGCAAGAGGGACAAACAGCTCTCTGCTGAGTCACGGCTCAGACAGATGAAATCTGCTTACCTGTTGACCAACGTAACAAGGGATGAGAAAGTAAGAAAGCAAATACTTGTGTGCTGTTGTACAGGAGCACCAGGCACTGCAGGGACCTGGCTGTGTTCACTCCACAAATATAAACATAAATGATGATTCCTGTACTAAAAAAACTGACATAAATATTTTCCTATCTGACCCAAAATAGTGAAACCCAAACTAAACATAAACCAAACACCCTCTTTAATAGTGATTATAGCCTTGCTGGATTCTCTGCACAATAACAACAGTATGACTGTATGAAAGGTTGCAAGGAAAAGTACAGCAACGAGACTTTGTAGTTGGCTGAAGGTTTTCATCTAATGTTTAATATAGTAGTTGGCAAGCCTGCAAATGGCAGGGGGTTGGAACTAGATGAACTTTAAGGTCCCTTCCAAGCCAAGTCATTCTACAACTCTATGATTGATTCGTCCCTCAGCTCAAAGCGTGTACAGCAGCTGGCTACACAGCAAGTGATTTTAAACAACAAACTCTACATTAAAAAAAAAGGAATTAACTATGCACTGTTAAGCAACGTAAACTTGTAGATAGAAGTATGACTTGTCCAGGTTTCACAGCTACCTCACCTGGACGAAAGTCAAAATCCAAAAGCTACCAGAGAAGAAAAGTAACCAGCTCTGCTCCTTGCTTGAGTATTGTGAGGAAATGGGTCCCTGTGTCCTCACACAGCTCTGCCATGACTGGGACACAATGAATATGGAAAGAATCCAGAGAGTGCTCCTCTCCCATGGTATTTTTTTATTTTTATTTTTTAATACACAGGAAAGGAAGAATAACTGAGACAAAATATATTTGGACTCAGTACAGCATGACAAGAACTAAGTTGCACTCTAGGCCTTTGCCTGAGTAAACAGTGATTTGTCTTGTGAGATGTTCAAAACAACAAAATAAATAGCTTTGAAAGACATAAGCTGTCTGTATAAACAGAGGGTGGGGGAGCACTACTGGATGACCAACACCTTGTTGAAGAAAAATAAAAACCAGCATCTCTCTATTTTTGCAGGAATGAACATCCATCCTACAATCCCAGGACAGCAGGCAATGGATGCCCAGGTACAGCCTCCCATATGCTGCCTACCCAGTATTGGCAACCATAGACATAACACAGTTGTATACCGCAGGGAGCAAAAGAGAGGCTGGTGTGTCAGATCCCTGTAGTAAGCATGAAATTCTTTAAACAGAGTTTGTGGAACAGTTTGAGGGGAACAAATCTCTGCTGATCCCTACAAGAAAGGGGCAGTAGTCTAAGCATGGGATTACCGAAAGATAAATACAGTGCAAGCAATGATCTAGTTTTCTTTTGAACCTGGCAGAGATACATGGATTCTTATCTCTGGGAATTCTCTAAATTAGTTGCACAATCCCTTCCATAAGCATATCTTGCTCGATCTTCCAGTGATTTGGGCTTCTCGCTCCCTCTGTTACCGCCTGAAGCAGCTCTCTGGAAGTCTTTAGGAACCTTTCAGTTTCCAGCCTAAATGTATTTATGATTAGATAATAAACACTCGATCTGGGGCTAATACTATCTTCTTGCATAGGATTTTTCCCTCTTTGATATATAACCCTTCAATCCATTTACACACAGTTGTCCTGTTTTAAGCTTCTGCCCGCCAGGCTAAACTTATCAAGGTCTTTTTTATCTCTTAGTAAGGAGTGACAGGAAAACGTTCAATCCATTCCTTTCTTCCAAGCAGCGTGCTAATCCTTGTCTACA